TAGTAGAAGAGAGACAAAATCCCAGATAGAGTTTTTTAGAATTGGCAAGAAAAAACCAACCTAACCAACTAAACCTTGGGTCAATGGATTATATAGCAAATATGAGCCAGAAAGAAAGAATCAAAAAAAACAAGATTTATAATAGTTGGAATTTTAAACAAACATCTAATTACATTTTAAATGGGAAATGAGAAAAGGAAGATTCATAAATCCTGATGATAAAAAATTCAATTAGAATTTATTAAAATCATTCAAATAATAACTTTATCTGAATTTTTTTTAATTTTATTTATTTTTTTATTGGTTATACTGATTTTTAATTTATATTTTATTTATTTAATTGAAAAAAGCATGGTGTTATAACTCAGCATTATGAATAACTATTCCTGCACTAACGCAAAAACTTGAATTCCTTTTGATGCTCCACAGCTTCTTAGAGATAAAACATTAGATTTTGATGGGTCTAGTAGAAAATTCTGATATTCAAAATCTTGACAGGCCATAATACTGATATCACATAATGTGACAATTAATATTTAAAGATTTTCATTGCAGCATTATTAGACTTTAAATTTTAATTGCTATATCGCGTGATATCAGTATTATGGCCTGTCGAAATTTTGGATGTCGGGATTTCCTACTAGACCTGATTTTGATAGAGCGAAGGTTGAAGAAGCTATGCCAAAATTTGAAGATGATCCTGAAATTGAGGACGATATTCTTGAAGAAATTTCCTTATATCTTTTGAATTTGGTATAAATGCATAAAAACAAGGAATATGATAGTGTATGAAAATGCTTCAATCAAAATGCTGAGCTTAATCATCCATTAAATTACTTTATGGGCATCATGGAGAAAAAGATCCAATTAGGGCCAGACAGCTTTTTAAAAAAGCTGCTGATGAACATAATCATACTTATGCAAAGTATTAATATGCTGTTTTGTTGCTTAATGATATTCAAAAGTAACTAATGGAACTGAAAAAGAAAAATTCTACAAGGAAATCCTATATTATCTGGCAAAAACAGCTAAAAATTCAAAAAATCCGAGGAGATATTTATTGGAATGGAAAACTTAGAGTAAAAAGGATGAAAAGAGTGAACTACATTATTTAAAAGTAGCCGCCGGTAATAATAATGAAAGAGCGATCACTCTTTTACTTAAATTATATAAGTAGACTAAACAGAATAAGTATAAGATATTGGTCATGCATCGACAAATTTCATGTTATTTATTAACACATGATCCAATATCGATGTTATCGTGCAACTATGATCATGGCTTAAAAAAATCGTTAGCCTCATACGTTATCAAAAGTATAAATAGATTAGATGATTGATTAAAAAAAAAAATTTTTTTCAAATCGCTTAGAGAGAAAATTCTTATTTGCACTTAATGTGCATTTATTTTTTGTCATTCCTTTACACTTTGAATAAAGTCGTATGTTGAGTTCAGATTTTTTACTTTCTTTTAGAAGTTACAAATCAGTCAAAAGTTAATTTTTTTTTTTTATTTTGGTAGTTTTCTGATTAAGGTTGTTATATATTGGTTTCATTGGCTTCGCCTTTCACCAGAAGTCTCATCTTTCGCCAGGAAATTACACTTTCACTGCTTTTGACGTACAATATACTGAAGAGAAGTCTGCCATTAGTATTTGGTAGAAATGCCCAAGTCTACCAAAAAAACTTCTCGTAGTAGTATCACTAAGGTTTGAATTTTAAATTTTTTTTTTTTTTTTTGGAAGGTTATTTAAAAAAGTATACACTGTTGAATTAAACTACTTATATTTTGTAGACTTTTAAGTACGTTGAACCGTCAGCAGAAGACTTGAAAGCAATTCGTGAGAGTTCTAAAGTACAAGCTACGCACAAGGCGACACAAGTGTGGGTGAAGGTTTTGGAGAAGTTTCATGCTGATATAGGATATGAGGGGAAAATTGATGATGTTAGTTCAAAGGTGGTCTTAGAAAACCAGTTATGTAAGTTTGTTTGTGCTATGAAATGTAAAGATGGGATAGAATATTGGGCATCTTTAGTTAAAAATTGCATGGCTGCTATCTGGTGCCACCTCAATAAAAAATCGGTTTTGGAAAAACCAGTGGACATTTTGAATACAAAAGTATTTTATGACTTGAACATGGACATTAATAGAAAGTTGAAGACTCTATCTGCGGCAGGACTAGATAAATATAACAGTGCGGGCGGTCTAACGATTAATGAAGTAGAGCAGATCCTGGTACATCCTACTATGCAACGTACCTCTCCTGAAAGTTTATTAAAGCGCATATTTTTTTATAACTCCATATTACTTGCTCTACGTGGTGGCAAGCATCAGGACCTTAAAATTAATAACTTTGTAAAGATATTGATGGTGGTATAGACATTAAGTTATATAGGTCAAAAACAAATCAGAGGGGTTTGAATGATGGTGACGGACAAGCTGAAACAATAAGTTTACCCAACATCAAAATTATTATTGATGATTACAAATTTTATTTTACAAAATGTCTAGCAACCACTGTTACGAATTTTTATTTGAAGCCTTGTGCTCCAAACGCTAGTATGTAGTCTTGAAGTTCGAAAAAAATTTCAAATTTCAATTGTAATTTGATCAAAATGTAAGATTTTAAATTTTTAATAAAAAATTTTTTTTATTATAGTTGATTTCAGTACAAAATGGTTTTATACACAGGCATTACCTGAACGTATATTGAAAGGGCACTTTCACCATATTTGTGAAATTACAAATATAACAATCGGCGATAGGATCATCTCTAATCATTCAGGTCAAAAGACCTCTATTCAAGTATTGAAAGGGTTGGAATATCCTGACTCAGTTGTAATGTCTATCACACGGCACAAAACCCAACAGGGTTTAGCATCATGCGAACGACCCAAGTCAGTAATGCAGCACCAGGGGTTGAATAGATTTTTTAATGCACTAACGTTGGTTTCAAAGTCTCCACCACCTGAATCAAAAGATGAAAATAGCAAAATGATCGATCAAGTTGAAAATAGTGAAATGACCGATCAGGGTGAAAAAATATATGGCGAATTTACATTGGCAAGCAATTATGCATCATTCGATACTGTTGAAGATTTTTTAGCTACCGACTTACCCGAATCTCCTTGAAACGCACTAAGTGAACTCGATCAAAATGTGCAAAAAGAAGGTCAAATGAATCCGGAAAGCGAAATCCAAGTCATAAAACAGAGAGAAGGTCAAATTAATAAAGGGATTGAAGGTCAAAAACAACAAATGAATAAGGAAGCATTGGAAAAATTCCTTACTGGCAATGTGTTTCATAATTGCACTTTTAATTTCGGGTC